CTAAACACTGAGAAAGGGCTTTCACTCAAATAATGTTGCTAAATGTCTCTCTTCCTCATTCAATGATTGTAATCTGAGTAAGACAGTCAGCCATCACCACTGAATACTAGAACTAAATTTAGGGAATCACTTCCTTTGTGTAAGTGACTTTCCATGTTTCCTTTTATTTCAGAAAGTTATAGAACATACAAGAAAAGCATAGCAATTCTTTGCCCCAGAGTGGTCAGGTATAATAAACAGAAAACCAGCATGGAGGAAATTTGTCTGAAATTAAGAAAGAGATAAAAATCATCAAAACTGCCAAACATATTACAGGTAAATAGAAAGCAACAACACCAAAGAATAAAGGGAAATTATTACCTTTTCAGAAACATAGGTTTTGAAGAAAAAGAAAAAGTTTTCACTTTAGGATTCTTGATTCAAATTTTCAACTTAATCAAGAGCACTTTAGGCATATGGAACTGGAGACATGGTGATAAATATCAAGATAATTGGTATGAAGATAAAAAAACTGCTGAACTTAAAATTGTACTGGAGGCAATAAAAATATTCCAAATACTTAGTAAAGATGAAACCTAATTTGGGAACTAGATATAGGAGTGAAAGGATAAAACAATCCCCACCAAAGTGTGCAAAGAGAAATGATAGACATGTATAGTAAGAGGATAGAGATATACAGTCAGAATATATATAGAGACAGATTTAATTAAGAGTTTAAAAAATAATATTCAAGCCTTCCTGGTAGCTCTTCATATTTCCTTCAAAAAATATAGAGCAATCAGAATAAATTTGAATAACTTAAAGTCATAGAATGCCCAAACGTAAAACTATTTGAAAGTGAATAAGGAAAATAACTCCAGATCCTACCACTCCTACCCAACGACAAGCCTCTGTGGTAAGAAAGATCACTCTGAGATAAACCGCAAGGAAGAGAGAATTGGGGATCTACTGATAGACCACAGAAAGAGGAACTAGGTCCATTGTGAGTTGAAAAGTACTAAAAATGTACACTACTAGATAAGAACATGGACTGCATGGAAGGAGCTTCAAAGTAAAAATGATTTGATGTGGCGAGTAACCTTGCAACATGTGGGAAAAAAAGAGAAGGAAAAAAAGACAGGGGAGGCATCCTCTAGCAACTGGCTGGTTAAGGGGAAGAGGTGTGGACACATATCCCATCTCCCTACCAGAAACAAACAAATGAACAAAGAAAAACAATTTCTGAAAGAATTTGGACTTTGCCAAACTGAAAGAAAAGGGTGCCACTGAACTAAATATCTTGTAAACCACCTTGAAATTACACTGGCAATTTTTAAAGTTCAATATATGTCTTAAGAGTTGCCATTAAAAATTCGGAATTTGAGTTTAAACACACCTTAAGATGTGAGGCTTCCCCATTTTAGGAAGATTTAGGAGTTTTTTTGGTAAAAATCTCAATAAGTAAGAAAATTTCAACATGCCCAAAAGGCAATAATGTAATGAAAATTCACCTGGTGTACTGAAGACCTGCAAGCAAACAGGCAAGAGAATGAAAGTGAGAGAGATCAAGAAAGGAGTATAGGGCTTCCCTGGTGGTGCAGTGGTTGAGAGTCCACCTGCCGATGCAGGGGACACGGGTTCGTGCCCCAGTCCGGGAAGATCCCACATGCCACGGAGCAGCTGGGCCCATGAGCCATGGCCACTGAGCCTGCGCGTCCGGAGCCTGTGCTCCGCAACGGGAGAGGCCACAACGGTGAGAGGCCCGCATACTGCAAAAAAAAAAAAAAAGAAGTATAGAGTGTATATAGTGTAAGACAATAGCAGATGGACAAAGAAGGGATTTTAATATAATTGAAGTCCCTGAAGAAGAAAAAGAAAATAATGAATGTCACTAGTGTTTAAAACTATATCCAAAAGCACTTTCCAGAAATAAAACCTAAACCTACATCTTGAAAGGGCCCATTAAATAGAGGAAAAAATTTAAGTCCAAATAATCAACTCTAATCCTAGTAAAAGTATTTCATTTTAATTATAAAGAAAAAAATTTTTCTTAGAGTTCTTGATGATGTTTCCTGGGGATGGGGGAGAAAATAAATTTTAGGGCAAAACAATTATACATTTTGCCCTAAATGCAGCAGACATTTCAAATTAACATAGAAAATGAAGCAACAATGAAGCAGCCTTTTCAAAAACACACAACAAAAGAGAGATCATAAGCATGATCCAAAGATTGTATGTACATCTCAGATCTCCTTCAAGTATCAATCCTATAGAAAATGAGTTTTAAGTATACAACAACATGTATATCAATATTGTATAGCCATGAGCCCTTTTAAGGAAATTACTGTGGCTTAAGTTTCATTCAAATGAAGATGTCTAGGCAAACTTTAGTGAAGGACTGATGTAGGACATAAAAATATATATCATGACAGATCTAAGGCTGAAAACAAAAGTGAGGATAAAAGTGGACGAATGATATATCAAATTTATATTATTAAAATGTACTAATGAAAGTAAACAATGGAAGGAGAAGGGAAAGTAAAAAGAAAATTAGTAAAAACACATTGACTATAGCATATAAAATATATAGTAGTAAAAGAGTACAATTAAACACTGATAAACGAGATAGTAAAAAGTTAAATAAGAAAACAGGTGTCTAAGGGCATTCAGAGGTATAAATAACTACTAGAACAAAAATTTTAAAAAAATCTTCCTGAGTACAGTATATTTTAAAAAATAGTGTGATATAAATCTCATAGACACAGAAACATAAAAATATAAAATAAAACACAAAAGTATAAAATAGGGCTTCCCTAGTGGAGCAGTGGTTGAGAGTCCGCCTGCCGATGCAGGGTACATGGGTTCGTGCCCTGGTCCGGGAAGATCCCACATGCCACGGAGCGGCTAGGCCCGTGAACCATGGCTGCTGAGCCTGCACGTCCAGAGCCTGTGATCCACAACCGGAGAGGCCACAACAGCGAGAGGCCCACGTACTGCAAAAAACAAAAACAGAAACAAAAACGTATAAAATAACACAGTTAAGACCAACTATTTCAGTCACATTAATAGGTATAAATGGGCTTAACTCACCTATTAAAAGAAAGAAAAACATCCAAATGTATCAAAATATCCAAAAATATCACAAATCAAAATCCAATTTTTTAAAAATATCTTTATTGGAGTATAATTGCTTTTCAATGGTGTGTTAGTTTCTGCTTTATAGCAAAGTGAATCAGTTATACATATACATATGTTCCCATATCTCTTCCCTCTTCCATCTCCCTTCCTTCCACCATCCCTATCCCACCCCTCTAGGTGGTCACAGAGCACCTAGCTGATCTCCCTGTGCTATGTGGCTGCTTCCCACTAGCTATCTATTTTATGTTTGGTAGTGTATATGTGTCCATGCCACTCTCTCACTTTGTCACAGCTTACCCTTCCCCCTCCCCGTATCCTCAAGTCCGTTTTCTAGTAAGTCTGTGTCTTTATTCCCATCTTGCCCCTAGGTTCTTCATGACCATTTTTTTCCCCTTAGATTCCATATATATGTGTTAGCATACGGTATTTGTCTTTCTGACTTACTTCACTCTGTATGACAGACTCTACGTCCATCCACCTCACTACAAATAACTCAATTTTGTTTCTTTTTATGGCTGAGTAATATTCCATTGTATATATGTGCCACATCTTCTTTATCCATTTATCTGCTGATGGACACTTAAGTTGCTTCCATGTCCTGGCTATTGTAAATAGAGCTGCAGTGAACATTATGGTACATGACTCTTTTTGAATTATGGTTTTCTCAGGATATATGCCCAGTAGTGTGATTGCTGGGTTGTATGGTAGTTCTATTTTTAGTTTTTTAAAGAACCTCCATACTGTTTTCCATATGGCTGTATCAATTTATATTCCCACCAACAGTGCAAGAGTGTTCCCTTTTCAACACACCATCTCCAGCATTTATTGTTTCTAGATTTTTTGATGATGGCCATTCTGACTGGTGTGAGATGATATCTCATTGTAGTTTTGATTTGCATTTCTCTAATGATTAATGATGTTGAGCATTCTTTCATGTGTTTGTGGGCAATCTGTATATCTTCTTTGGAGAAATGTTTATTTAGGTCTTCTGCCTATTTTTGTATTGGATTGTTTGTTTTTTTGATATTGAGCTGCATGAGCTGCTTGTAAATTTTGGAGATTAATCCTTTGTCAGTTGCTTCATTTGCAAATATTTTCTCCCATTCTGAGGGTTGTCTTTTGGTCTTGTTTATGGTTTCTTTTGCTGTGCAAAAGTTTTTAAGTTTCATTAGGTCCCATTTGTTTAGTTTTGTTTTTATTTCCATTTCTCTAGGAGGTGGGTCAAAAAGGATCTTGTTGTGATTTATGTCATAGAGTGTTCTGCCTATGTTTTCCTCTAAGAGTTTGATAGTGTCTGGCCTTACATTTAGGTCTTTAATCCATTTTGAGTTTATTTTTGTGTATGGTGTTAGGGAGTGTTCTAATTTCATACTTTTACATGTACCAGTCCAGTTTTCCCAGCACCAATTATTGAAGAGGCTGTCTTTTCTCCACTGTATATTCTTGCCTTCTTTATCAAAGATAAGGTGACCATATGTGCGTGGGTTTATCTCTGGGCTTTCTATTCTGTTCCATTGAGCTATATTTCTGTTTTTGTGCCAGTACCATACCGTCTTGATTACTGTAGCTTTGTAGTATAGTCTGAAGTCAGCGAGCCTGATTCCACCAGCTCCATTTTTCGTTCTCAAGATTGCTTTGGCTATTTGGGGTCCTTTGTGTATCCAAATGTTTTTGGTGTTCAGGAGATACATCTAACCTAAAGTGACTCTGGAAAACTAAAAGCAAAGAAGTTGTCAAAGGTATACTAGATACATGATAATAAGAAGAAAATAGGTTAAAGTTACAGTGAAAAATAAAAAAGTATCATGGTGCATCTAGTAGAGTGGTTAAAATCCAAACAAACTAAATATCAGTTGCTGGTTAGAATTCTGAATAAGAGGAACTCTCATTCATTGCTGGTAGAAATGCAAAATGGTAGAGCCACTTGGAAGACAGTTCAGCAGCTTCTTATAAAACAAAACATAGTCATGTATTATCATCCAGCCAATACGCACCTATTTATTTACCAAAACTATTGGAAAACTTATATCCTCACAAAAACTGGCCCATGAATGTTTATAACAGCTTTATTTATAATTGCCAATAACTGGAAGTGACCTCCGTATATGAATGAATAAACAAACTGTTGTACATCACTCAATAGAATACTACTCAGAGATAAAAAGAATGAGTTATGAAAATACACAGCTACGTGGATGAACCTTAAATGCATATACATACAAATTGAAAAGCCAATTGTAAAATGGCTTCTTTTCTTCTGTATGATTCCATTTATATGACTTTTTGGAAAAGAGTTGGAAAACTTGATTAGAGTTCAGAAGCTGAGAGATGGTAAAATCAGTCAATCCATCAGTCAGTCAGTAGTTGCCAGGGGTTTGGGGAGAAGAAGTAAAAGTTTGAATAGGTGTAGCAAGGGGATATTTTTAGAAAAGGGAACATATTCTATATGATACTGTAGTGGTGGATACAGGGTCCTATGCATTTGTCAAAATGCATAGAACTTTACAGCACAAGAGTGAACTTTATTGTTTATAAATTCTTTTTTGTTTGTTTGTTTTTTGTGGTACGCAGGCCTCTCACTGTTGTGGCCTCTCCTGTTGCGGAGCACAGGCTCCGGACACGCAGGCTCAGCGGCCATGGCTCACGGGCCCAGCCGCTCCACGGCATGTGGGATCTTCCCAGACCGGGGCACGAACCCGTGTTCCCAGCATCGGCAGGCAGACTCTCAACCACTGTGCCACCAGGGAAGCCCTATTGTTTATAAATTCTTTAAAAAAATATTTAGGAGGTCGGGGGATCCCACAATGGAATGCAGACTGTGATGAGGAAATCTAATTGGATTACAAACATATAAAAGAGTCTGTATGAGAAAAAAAATACACTCCTGTGTGTTCCTCCTTTATTCACACATTCACTATACTTCTGATGCCAGATGTGTGGGTGTTTTCCCCACACTAAGCAATTTTGTGTGACACCAGCTAGATCTCCTACACTTAATTCTGATACTGTCTACCTGGAAATAATGTCAGATACTACAGGTTAATGGCTCAGTCCCACAAGAACGCCCACCTCCTCCCCACCGAAACACACATAATTCAGATGTCAATCACAAATCCATTTGTCCCCTCTACTTCTGACTGATAGGCTGTACGTGGGGTTCTCATGACCCCTTCCTTGGTTTCAGTTATTTGCCAGAAAGGCTCATAGAACTCAGAGAAACACTTAAGTTTACCAGTTTATTATAAAAGGATATACTAAAGGATAGAGATGAACATACAGGTGGAAGAGATGCAAAGGTATGAAGATGTAAGGTGTGAAGGAGGAGCTGCAGAGCTTCCACACCTTCTCCAGGCATGACACCCTTTTAGTACCTCCATGGGTTCAGCAGCTTAAGAGCTCTCTGAATGCTTTACTTCTGAGATTTTTAGGGGCATTTAATCATGAAGGCATAATTGATTGTTAACTCAGTCTTCAGTCTCTTTTCTCTTCCCAGAGGATGTGAGGTTGGAGTAGAATGTTCCAATCTTCTGATCATGGCATGGTCTTTCTAATCATGTCATGGTCTTTCTGGTAATGAGCCCCCATTCTGAAGCTATACAGCTCACCAAGAGTCACATCATTAGATCAAAAGACACTCCTATCATCCAGGACATTCCAATGGTTTTAGGAGCTCTGTGCCAACACCTGGGGGCAGAGACCTGTATGTATATCCTCTATTATTTCACACAGTCTCCCTGAAAGCGGGTGGCATGTTGGGGGGGTGGATGTTAACCAAAGTAACTTTGAAATAATGAAGACTGTAGGACTAAAGTCAAAAGAAACTGTACCTATGCACTGTCCTCTACTTTGTAAAGCTATTTCTCATGAGGGTATGAGCTAAAAATTCTGAAGCTACTATATATGTATAGTGGGATGGGACTATTAAAAAAAATAGATGGCAGATGGTGGAAGCTAGGTTTCTCACCATTGGATTTGGAAGGTATAGATAAACAAGGAAGAAATTCTAGAATAAACTATATCATATTGGAAGAAAAAGATATAGTATGTACTCATGTTTAGAGTAATAATTTTATTTTTATGGTAAATTATATAGTATGATTTTATATTGTATAATATAAAAATAATATACATCTTTAAAACCAGAAGATATAATTTCATATTTCCTGCAACTTTTATTCTAGCCAGACTAACCACAGTTCAAAGGGTTAGATATTTTCTCAAATGAACCTTCAGGTAGATAGATAATTTTTAAGCTCTTATAACCAAGACACAAACCATACATTGATGTATTCACTGAATTCTCTAGATCCATGTAAGTACCAACAAGCATCTTTTCTCCCCACACAGGCGAGTGATTTACAATAAAGCAGTTATTAGCAGCAATCTAGTTAAACTTATTCAGATGAACAAATGAAAGTCTAGGGGAATGACACGTACTTCTTGCTGCTGGATAAATTGACCCAAGTGCTTAGTCACCCAGATTTTCTTTCCTCATCTATAAACTGGGGCTAATATTAATACCTTGCACTTATGGAAGCTGTGAGGATTACTTTGGTGGCATAATTAAAGTGTGAAGAACACTGTGTGATACAAGTTAATGACCAATAATCTATATTTATTGCCTCTCCTCTTCCAGTCTCACAGCTCTCAATGTGACAGTCTGGATGGGAAAGTAATACCTTCTTCAATGATCAATATATTGTATTTTCATGAAGAGATTACAACCACTGATTCTCAAATGAAAATTTTAAGCAAATAACAAGAAAGATTATATTCCATTATCATTGTCATAGTTTTTGCAAACATAATATGACAGTTATATAACATTTGGTTAATCATCACTGCAAAGCCTTTTATCCATAGCAGTTGTAAAGATGGTTATTTTCTTTCTGAATGTGAGAACTGAGTCAGGTTCCTGGACTAGAGCTCACCCTGTCATGTTTTACCTTAGCAATTGATGCTCGGATATTTTAGACTGTTTTGAAAAGTGCTAGAAGATAGTATGAAATGGAATCAAGATTGGAAGATGCTCTATCAGTATAAATCAATGTCAGGTCAGTGGATAAAATGGAAAATAGTCCCCCAAACTTGAGAGCAATAATCCAGAATTATGTGGAGTCTAGAGAGATGTAACCAGATCATTATGGCTTCAGATACTCCAAGAGCAGATGATTGACATTTTAGTTTTGATTTTCCTGTTGTCATGACTTTCTTTGCTGAGGTAAACTTTCCTTGGAGCTTATAAGAGGGTGGGCATTAGCTGCTAACTTGCTGCTTTCTATTGATTGTTGCAATCTGTGACTCTTTCCTGTGTTGAGCCAACAAAGAATGCAGCATTAAGATCCCATGTTTACCAAAATTGCTTCTCTGCAGTTTAAGACACTGGCTTGAAAAAGTCTGGTAAGAAAACTTACCTTCTTTAGTCTAGCCCTATCCAAAGCCTATCACACGTGGCTCTTTAACAGGAAAGAAGAATGAGATTGATACTTCTATTAAATAAAAAGGATCTGTGTTATCTTAAATCCAACAAATTGCACATTGATGATATAACAAGTTTCGGTTCTGCTAGTTTTAACTTCATAGAAAAAATAAAGCTAAATTGCTTCTAAAATAAAATACACCAAGTATTCTTTAAACATATCATGGAAAAGTTTAGATTGTTTTAATTTAGTACAGTGGAACACTGGATTCAGTACTACTTTCAACAGGGAAAAAGTACAAAAGAACCAGTTATTGAATTAAAATACTTTTTTCCACGGCCTCACAGAACTCAGGAATTAGCATGGACCTGTTTGACATTGTGTGGCATATAGAAGAATAATCAGAATATGTGCATTTGATTTTCATATTTGCAGTCTAGATAATACGGAGCTCTTTTACTTTTCTTAAGTTTTAGTTTCTTCATCTGCAAAATCAAGATAACATCACCTACTTCACAGTTTTGTCTTAAGGATTGAATGTTACTGAATATTTGAGTAAGCACTCAATATGTACTTGTGGAATCTGAATCATAACCCAATGATGAGCTTTTCATGGCTCTTTGTTAGCATTTGATATTGAGCAGATTCATAAATCCATATGCTATTATCCTTTTATTGTATGTTCAGTAAAACTGTTGATTAGTTGCACATTGATAATCACATGCATTGAAGTGTGGTATGCTGATAACTTGAGCTCCAAGCATATTCTGTCCTCTTACATTCCATATAGTATTTATAAACTTATGAGATTGCTGATTAGATAATTACTTTGTAATTATATAAAATATTAATTAAATGAGAGCTCTGAGGTTTAGGAGAATGCATATCATACTAGAATCCAAGCTCCCATATTTATATTATATGTAATACCTTAGATGAATCATGAATCTCTCTGAGGCTCAGTATTCTTATCAATAAATCGGAAATAACACTTAACATAGTATCTTTACAAGTCTATTGATTGCATGCAATGTTATGTTGTAAATCAAAGGAAATTGTGAATTATAAAAGAATACACAAATATTTGGGCTATTATGTCGTGGAAGTTAAAAATCTGTCTCAACATAGATTTTTTTTTAGATTTTGTTAGATGATCATTTGTGGCATTGGTTTATACACGGAATTCTTAGTGAAGGCTTCCAACCGTGTGTCTTGACAAAATAAAAATTGACATTTAAAAATGGTCCAAGAAAAGGGCTACCCATTGAGTTTGTACCAGAACACGTGAGGGGAATAAAAATTTCAGATTCTCTGAGAATGATATTTGTGAGACAGAAGCAGATCACACACGCCAACAGAATGAGCGGTGTTGAGGAATTCCATGTGTTCCTCCTGCAGGAGAGTATTGCAGATATGCTAACATGAAAAATAATGATGGCAGTTCAGGGAAATAAATGATTAAAATTTGGACTGGATTATAAGACAACAAAGGAGTAGCCCCCAAATTAGCCTGGGGCAAGAAAAAGACAAATAGGGAAATTGATGGGAAAGAGAAAAGATGGTAGTTAAAAGGTATTGCCAAATCAAACAATAATCATGGTTTCAATTGACCCTTGAACCATGTAAGTTTGTGTGGGTTCACTTATACATGGATATTTTTCAGTAGTAAATACTACAGTCCTACAAGGTCAGTGGTTGGTTGAATCTGTGGTTGAAGAATATAAAGATATTTCCAACCCTATAACAATTAATAGAAAGCTTAGACTGAAGAGAAAACTGTGAATTTCATGGGGAAACTTTGCCTTCCTGAATTAACCTCAAATTTATGCATTCACACTATGGGTACATAGCAAAGCCAAATACAATTTATGTTTAAAAAGAAGTAACTTGATAAAAATGTCAAACTGAACACACACATCTACTTTTTTTGGCCTTCTGAAACACCAAGATAATATTAGGAAAGGATTTTTTAAGGCATTACACCACCAAGACACTGAGAACACAAAAACTGACAACAGTGGCATTTTGGAAGCTACAAAGCAGATGGACTAAGAGGATCCATAAATACAAATCTTTATCTGGCAGAGGGGAAAACAAAGAAGGAGCTTAATTTGTATCTCAGAATTCCCATAAATTATAAGGGCCTGGCATCTGGAGTTGAGGGTAGGCTGTAAAGAGCTAGAAAAAGAAAGGTGGTTTAATTCTTGTTTAAAATACATTAAACTTATAATGGATCAGTCTCGCTAGTAAGAGCATGAGATAAAAATTCGGGTGCTTTTGGTCTGCTGAGGAATTACAGCAGAATAGCAAAAGGAAAAGGTGAGAATAAAATTGTGTTCTCAGGTAAAATTTAACATAAACTGCTTCACAGAATTATCCTCTGTTGAGGCAAGGGTGTCTACCTTTTTACCCCTGTAAATGGTACCTTAGACATATCCAAAATTAATCAAAAGAAAACTTCACTCTTAATGAAATTCAAGTAGTTATTGGGCAGACAAGAGCAGAGAAATGTTCCAGAAAGAAATAACAATATGTGCAAAAGAGCAAAGGTGAAAATGCCCATAGTGAATTTGGGAGACTGTAGGAATTACCTCAGAGATGCAGTGAAGCAATATTTACATAAAATTATAGTTGGATAATGTTTACTTTTAATTGCTTTGAGAATTGTTATGTACTTAATATTTAAATGTAAAAAAATACAGAAATTCTTAGATTCCATATATATGTGTTAGCATACGGTATTTGTCTTTCTCTTTCTGACTTACTTCACTCTGTATGACAGACTCTAGGTCCATCCACCTCACTACAAATAACTCAATTTTGTTTCTTTTTATGGCTGAGTAATATTCCATTGTATATATGTGCCACATCTTCTTTATCCATTCATCTGATGATGGACATTTAGGTTGCTTCCATCTCCTGGCTATTGTAAATAGAGCTGCAATGAACATTTTGGAACATGACTCTTTTTGAATTATGGTTTTCTCAGGGTATATGCTCAGTAGTGGGATTGCTGAGTCATATATATGGAATCCAAGGAAAAAAAAAAGACGGGAATAAAGACACAGACCTACTAGAGAATGGACTTGAGGATATGGAGAGGGGGAAGGGTAAGCTGTGACAAAGTGAGAGAGTGGCATTGACATATATACACTACCAAACGTAAGGTAGATAGCTAGTGGGAAGCAGCTGCATAGCACAGGGAGATCAGCTCGGTGGTTTGTGACCGCCTGGAGGGGCGGGATAGGGAGGGT